GAAAAATATAACTCTAATATATAATAAATAAATAATTTGACAGTAAAATGACGTCCATAGCCGACATGTGATGTGGTCTTGGGATAAGTTTCATGGTTTCAGACAGGAGTCTGTTAAAAAATTAAAAAAATAAAAAAATCATATATATATATTTCTTATGTTTCAGCATATGATGAAGCAGTAGATATTCAAGTATTATTACTTAATTCCTCCACTAGATGGAGCTCCACAGCTGTTGAGTATCTTTATAACACTATGATAGGGTTGTGCATTAATTTGCACTGATGGCAGCTCACTTTCCCTCATGTCTGCCCCACAGCTTCCCTCTGTGTGTACGTTCTGTGTGTTTGGAATAAAAAAAGTGACAGATAAAAATGACTTTTCAGTCTTTATGGTTTTTTCTTTTCAATGGCCACTGCCACTATTCTTGTGCTTCGTCTGCTGTGGTCATTTTCTAATGTTGAAACCAATTTTTTCCAATGATCTGTTCCAAGTGGTCTCAACATTAGATCAAACGGGCTTTGACTTAACGGACAGTAAGAAAAATAAGCGTTGAACTTATTTATGGGCACCTGGTGTGCAGCCAGCATAGGGCTCAATTAGTGGTGGAGCAGCATTACAGCTTATAAGATGGATGGTGCTTTTAGTGTTGGTATTGGGTGGTTATCAGTTAATTTGCTGAAAAGAATACCTAAAGGCTTGTAGCTGTGTTTGTCAGTTGGATGAATGCAGCCAGACAAATTTTCCACTGGTGGTTTTTGGGGTTGAATGCATACAGAGATTATTTAAAATGCAAAGAAATTACATTTTTATCCCCTCCCCCCTTCTTAAAACCTTTGCATTACACAACCACCTGCTTCCATGCTTTGGTGGGAAATTATTCTGATTTTTTAAATAGTGAAATACACATCATTATAATTAAATATTTTATCCTATTTATGTTTATGAGAGGCGCGTTCACATCGATTCTGTTGCTGATTCTGTCAATCATTAGATCAGTTTCCTTGTCCTGCTTTTCACCTTGATGTCAGGATCACATCAAGTGGCATCCATTCCTCTTGTGGGTTTTCTACCATGCCTTTATTCCCTAGTGGCATTGTATTGGTGCTGACTACCACACAATCATCTCTGTGGCTTTTCCAGCTGTTGACTTGGACTCACCTGCTTGCGCCTAACTGCATGGCTCTGCTCCCAGTGCCATTTTTGTGGTTGTGTCTGAAAACACTGCTCTCTTCATGTTGGGTAACCTCACTAACAGGATTTTAGGCTGAGGATTCAGAGCTTTTTTTAAGGCTAACCATGGAGGTCTATGGGGCTATTCAGGTGTTGCCAGGTTCTCAATGCACAACTCAAAGGTTGGGCTTTCATCTACGCTTTTTCTCGTAAAAACGGTTGTTTACTGTATGCAAGAAATGACACTTCAGATTGATTGCACTCATTATAATATCATTCCCTTTCCCTTCTATTCATCCCAATGTCCTTTTCAATTTCAGACAAGATACTTCAGTCAGTGTGCGTTGTATTAAGGCCTGTCAACCTAACGACATTGGCTGCAATCTGGACCCCGTCCACCTCATCACCCACACCAGCATCTCTTTGCCCACCTTCAGAGACTTCAGTGGCCCAGAGGGTAAGGCAAGGCAGAAGTACAGCAGATACTTAAATCAGCTTTCAGAGCCTCTGATCGATTGAATGTAATCTGTATTCTGTTTTAATATAGTAGTAGTTTTTGGTCTGAGGCTGAAAACTTTAACTCAGTAGCTTGTAATAACAAATAAGTCACCGCCTCATTGTATTAAAAATCATTAACCAACCTGCCACAGTTCATAAGCGTCACTTACTGATTCTTACCTACCAAATCATTGTTTTACCATGCCATGAATATCTAAATGTAAGACCCATTTTTTTCTTCAGACTAATACTTTAAACCAAATCTTCCAACAGAAATCGTTTTCCTGCGGACAGCTGCGGTCGCTAACCCTGCTCCTCTCCCTGCTGCCACGGACGTTTTCTTTGACATCCTGACTGCAGATCCCCAGTTATCTTTTGACGTGCTGAAGCGCTCCCACCTTGGCATGATCATGGGTAAGAGGAGAGAGGATCACTTGTAACCAGGCAGATATCACATTCACTTATATCTCTCCCAAAATGGAATAACAGTCACTAATCCCAGTCTGCATCATCCCTCAGGTGTGGTCCGGCAGGTAAAACCTATCATTGGCCCCATGGATTTTGTGCTGGAGGTGGCCATGAACTACGTCAAGTCCGGGATCATTTCACATCGCAATGTTGTCATCGTCCATGTCTCCATTTCTGAGTTCTGGTTCTGAAACAAGCTTAGCGATAAATGGGAAAAAGAAATAAGATATAACCTCTTCATTTCTGGAGGTCTAGACTTCTATTACAAAACACTGGTAAACACTTTAAATGTCATGTCAATGCTGTGGAATGCTGAATTTATATACTTCAAATAAATCACTGGAATTTGTTGATTTGCTACTGTTTGATATCATGAAAACAGTTTGCAAATCACTCATTTACTAACAATACATCTTTGCTATTTGAAACACAATATGTACTAATAAAAAGAAGGAAACTTTAACAAAATATACAAGTCAATGAGTGAGAAGTAAGTGGATGTATTAAAAAGTGTCAATCCTGTTTAACATTTTAGTTTAGCACAGTGGTTTTTAACTGGTCTAGCCTCGGGACCCACCACCAACTCCTTCATGAAAAATCTTGACCCAAATTTCAGATATTTTTCAACCAGTCAGATTTGTGCAATGAAATATTGTGCAGTTTGCACCTCAGACGGTACAAAACGTGACAGGCCAAAGAAACAAAACAAACATGTTGAAAAAGCACTTCATAGACTTTCTGACACAATATTTTTTCTAAACACACATTGGCGACCCACTAAAAATGTCTTGGTGACCCACTTTTGGGTCCCGACCCACCAATTGAGAAACGCTGGGTTAGCATATTAGAATGCTAAAATTGTAATCGCTAAATGATCAAAAAACAATGAATAGGAGTTTTACTAAAAAAAAAAAAAAAAAGAAAACTACAAGCTCTTTATTATCTTTCACTGTCTACAGTAATTCACTCAGACTAAGATCTTTTTCTCATGGCTGTCATAAGAGGTGACGGTTGGTTGACCCAAGGAACTGTTTGATAGTTGCTCTTTTTCATGCTTCATTTGACAATAAAACGCTACATGTATGGATTATTTTACAACAGAAATATGTGTTTTGCACGCTCAGACTATAGGTCCATCTGTGGATAATAAAATGTGGTGAATTGTGTACATGTTTATTTTAACAGAAATGAGTAAGACTTCCACCACAGCAGACTAAACCAGCTGTCTTCTAGTAAGCATAAATGGGGTTTCCATCTGATAGTATTTCATGTTTTTCCTGTAATTCAACTCTTCAGATTCCCCATCATACCATACCACTTCCAGTTTGTGAGTATATTTCCAGTTATTCCACTCAAAAATGAATAATGGGACTCCTATACTGGGAATGTTTGGTTCTTCAAATACCTCATCTTAAAGCTGACAAATTGCTTGAGGTGGATACTCCTTACCATCCATAATCAACGCTCCTCCACATCGATTCTGCCTTTCACCACTGCCCTGCTTTTCCTGGCCAGTGAAAACACGGGGGACAACCATGCGGAATAAAATTGTGTAATCTTAAATTTGCCACTTTACATGAAAATCCCTAAGGCTTTTGCTGAAGACTTGTTTTTGCAGCTGTAAAAATTGTTTCACAACTTCTCTAGACTCAATAAATTGATGTTCAGACCTTTGAAAATTACTTTGGGTGTGGATTTCAGATGTGAATGCAGCTTCAGCCGGTACAAAAAGATTTGACTATTTCTATGTAGCACTTTGTTTATGCTGCTCACCGCTGCACCACATGGGGGTCAGGGTCAGACATGGCAACACACAGCACACCACTGAAAGATTGTTTACATTTTCCACAGAAAAGATTCACAGGAATATGTTTGACAATTCTACAATTCACTTCTACAATTCACTTAGCAGACGCTTTTATCCAAAGCGACGTACATCAGAGAGTAAGTACAACACAAGCAAGGATCTAGAAAAAAAGGGAACAATGTCAGTAAGAGCGAGCGATCAGCTTTGAGTCTGATTGGACACACAGGTGCTGACAGGAAGTGACCAGAGGCAAAGCACAACATTGACGGCAGTTCTTGAGAGCTCTAATCAGTATAGAAACCATCTTATAAGTCATCGTTATCAAACAAAAACAATCGTGACAACCATCATCATCATCATCAATGATATCGAAACCATCATCATTAAGTTAGTAGGTATTCATGAAAGAGCTGGGTCTTTAGCTTTTTCTTAAAGGTGCAGAGGGACTCTGCAGATCGAATGGAGTTTGGAAGTTCGTTCCACCACCGGGGGGCGACAGAAGAGAAGAGTCTAGTCAGAGACTTAAGACCCTGTTGTAAGGGTTGGATCAGACGCCTTTCTTTGGTAGAGCGTAGTGGGCGGGAGGGAGTGTAGACCTGTATGAGAGAGTTTGACATTAATAAACAGTCTTTTTTAGGTTTTCGGAACACTTAATTTACACGGACACCCAGGATAAATTAAGCACAGAGTGGTAGCCTATATTAACACATAATGAAAGGCCAAAAATCCATGCAATATGTTATATTTTGGTTATACATGCCTATTTTATGAATAATATAAAATGTATGACAACAATGTTTAACCACAAAGGAAAAAGGCAAGCAAAATGCATCTTTATCAGCCAGGTTTTCTCTCAATAAGTAAATATAAAGTAATTGCCCACTTTTTCCACTAAATAACACATTCTCAGTTCTCCCTACTGGGTCTCCATCAGTATTTTTATGTGTTCAACTGAGAGAATGGATTGACAACAGTGTGATAACAGCAGCACATGCTTTGACTCCGCCTTCACGAAGGTCGGAGCCAATCGTGTTCCAGCAAATTATCCCGGACGTCCCGCCCACACGCATGAAGAAGACAAACATGGCAGCTTCCACCGTCGGCAACCCGGACCTTTCAGCATCTATCGCTGGCATTTTAAATGAAAAACACTGCCCCGAACACTTGCTTGTTTTAAAAACATTAACGTCTTCGCTACGGGACAAGGAGTACAGGTAGGTGGAAGTCATTCACTGCCCTGTGGAGCGGAGACTTGGGATGCTAGCTTGTGAGCTGGGCTAGCATGCAGTCCGTTCTGCGAGATGCGTGAAGCATTATGTTACAGGCCCACATTTTGCTGTCATTCAGACGTATTTTTTTTTAATTCATTCTTATTTGTTTATTAAATGAATGCGTAAGTTAGCGTATGTATTTTTTTAATTCGTAGTTTTGCGGGCGTTAAGTGGTTTTTTGGTGACTTTAGTTGCCATGACAACACACGCACAGCTGTTACTAATATAAAAAGTGACACCTTGTCTTATGTGTGGCATAATTAAAAACAAAGTTCGGCTTCATGTCATGTTTTTCCTCAGTAGTTATGTATAGATAACCCTGCTGTAAAGACACTGAGCTGTATTTCCTTTCTGTTGGTTCACTCTCTGTTCCCAGGGATGCTGCAGAGAAGGAGGTGTTCTCCAGTCTTTTCAAGGTCTTATCCCGACTGAAAGATGAGCTGCAGGCTGCCAGCAGTGGCGATGAGGATGTGGAGTGTGACGCCATGAGTCTGCAGTTAACTGCTGAGTGCTTCAGGGCTCAGAGAAACGCCTGCGTCCAGAGTACTCGCAACCAAAGTCTGCTCAGGTCATTCCAGATACAGTGCACTGCACATGAAGCAGTGGAGACATAGATGAAAATGTTGTGGTTGTCATAAATACATACTACAAAAGGAACCTTGCAACATGAAAAGATGACTTCTCATTGCAGCCGAGTCAAAAATATGTTAATTCAACTTTTCTCAAAGATGATTGAAAAGTTGAATTAACATATTTTTGACTCAGCTGCAATGAGAATTCATCTTTTCATGTTGCAAGGTTGCTTTTGTAGTATGTATTTATTTAAAATAGTGACACTGCACATTAATGAAAATAAACATGTAAATATACCAGATTGTAGCAATATTAGGGCTGGGCAATATGGACCAAAACTCATTCAATTTGTCCCCGGGGGGGCAATTCAAATTCACTTCAATTCATAAATTCAATTCATATCTCGATATTGATTAGCTGAATGGCGATACTCGTTGTAAATCGATATGTATTTTATTAACAGCGAAAACACATGAAAAATAAACTACCTGTTTGTGTATTTTAAAAGTAATATTATAAAATAAAAATGTTCCTTAAAAGAGAGAGAGAGAGAGAGAGAGAGAGAGGAGGAGCAGGGTTAAGAGGGACAGACAGTCAGTTATCATCAGTGAGATGAGAAAAAGGTGACCTGGCACCTCTATAACGTTATTTTAATGCAACATAAACTATATCGATATTAACGATATTGTCTTAGCCTGTATCTTGTTTGAAAATATATCAATATATCTTAAAAACTCAATATATTGCCCAGCACTAAGCAATATGCTCATTTCTATCTGTATTCCCTTCCCTTGGCAGGTTGGTATACACATACAAATGTATGTAACCACAATGACAAGCAAAAAGCAAACAACAATATAAACTGTACATTATAGTTGACTGAGACACATTTATACAAGCATAAAAACCAGGATAAAGTGACCTTTGGAGTTAAAGTGCTTAGAGTGCTGCTAAGGGATGTTAAGTGCTAAAGAGGTGGAGTATTGTACATGATTATGAGGTGCTGATGTAAATAGCGCACTTACCCTGGAGCCTGTAACTTTAAAGTGCTGGTGATTGCACGTAGCCCTACTACATGGCACGGAGTTTGCATATACAGACATGTGTACGCACATACTATTAGGTACACAGGGTTAGATACATAAATGTGTTTATAATATATATCAGCTTCTATTGAAAAGGTTGTGTTATGTTATTGTGTCCACTTTGACTGAACATATAATCAAGGCAACATCTAAACATGAATGTATTTTTTTCTCTCTAGGGATCTCGGCTTCATTAATGTTTCTCTTAAACTCCTGGACTTCCTCCAGACCAAAAATTTGGAGAGTAGAGATGGAATATTTGAACGTAAGTTTAAAATAAGGATCCCTTGTTAATATAAATAAGGATCCCTTGTTAATTAAAAAAGGTAGGCTAATATTTTTGTATTCTCTATGGCTCAGCTCTTCGTTGTGGGATCCAGTTCCTTGGTAACTTAGCAGTTGGAAACCAAACGTGTCAAGATGAAATTTGGCAGCTCAGCTTCCCGAATCTTCTCCTGTAAGTTATGTCAACATCAGTTGCTCTTATTTAAATATTGCTACATTAAATCATATAATTCACACTATTAGTTGATTTGTAAAATTTCCTAATTTTCATAGTAGGGGCATCTTGGTGTCTTGATGTTATTAAACTACTTGATTACCTGATACATACCGGTACCTCTGAGTGTTAGATACTGTATTAATCCTGTTTCAAAATCTAAAGCTTCTTCTGTATCAGTATAATTGTGTGTTGAAGAAGTGATCACAGACCTACGTGTTTAAGCATTTGTCCCAACATTAAGTCCACTCAAACATTTGTGAACAGCCAGCTGCTCAGCGCTGATGATGAGAAAACGGTGAACTATGCCTCCATGGTTCTACACTCATGTCTGGATGAAGCCAAGGTGGAAGAAATGTCTGAGCCACAGAACATCCAGCTGGCACTCAGGGTGATGGAGCTCTGTAGGACACAGCCTGATCTGGACTGGACGTAAGAGTGTGTTTGTGTGTATAAAGAAATGTAATTTTACATCTTGTCAAGGAATTACCAACTCTGTTGTACTACTTATTGTTAACTGTTTTATTCACTTCCAGGGTTCTTATTGCTACTCAGCATTTCCTCAAGTCTTCAGCTCTAGTGGAGAGCATGTACTCAGGGATGTCTCACCATGAAAGGTAATTTACTTCAAATGCCAATAAAGACATTAAATGTCACAATAGACATTTACCATTTTAGTAAATTACACAGAGACTGCTGAAAAAATCTAACTCTAAAGAAAAACTTTTCTGATACTGCAGAACATTTATCCAGAAAACTCAAAACTACATGTGAATGAAGACCTAGATTGCTAATAAGATAAAAAATTTGATATGGATGACTTAAAAATATGTGTGTAATTTCCAGGGTGACTCTATTAGAGCTGCTCTTTGCCCAGCTGAGAGAGGAGGACTCAGACGACTGTGGCGTCCCTCCCAGTGTGGCTCGCTTTCTGGCTGGGTCCTTCCAGAAAGGTTGCGGAGCCGTACTGACACTCGCAACTGGCTCCGCTTCCAGTGATGAGGTAGAGACTGTTAACCTGATTGTTGTATTTTCCTGAAGCATTTTTTTAAATACTGGGAAATATATTTAGCCTGTTGTTCGCACTCCCCTGTAGGTCCTGCAGGAGGCGCTGACTGTGATTAGTCTGCTGGATGTGCTGTGTGAGATGACCTCAGACCTCAAGCAGTTCATGTTCCTACAGGACCATCCAGATCTGCTGGTGACCACTGTCGGTAATTAAAAACAAAACCCCTCACCTTTTTGAACGCCTTCATCACATGCATTATATTTACAAGCAATAAACACACAGCAGACATTAAATAAGGATGACCATTTGCTTTAATAAAAACTCAAGCACAATGTCTGACGTAAAAGTTTCTTCTACTTACTTAAAATACATAATCAGAGTTATTGGCTGTAATTGATTGAACCTACGTTTGGGAAAATGTTATATGTGTGTTTCTTTTTTATATGTTGACTGTGTGTGCTCTCAACCTTAATATTTTTCTCTGCAGAGCTCCTGAAGCAGGTTCATGCTATCGGGAAGGCGAGTAAGAACATCTTCAGTTCTGCTCAAAACTTCTCGTCCTTCAGTGGAGACGGAGACTCTTCCCCCGAATCTCCTGTCATCAGCTTCAAGGCCCACCTCGTCAGGCTGATAGGAAACCTCTGTCACAGCAACCCCAACAACCAGAACAAGGTTTGGAATGGAGCAATGAGATACTTTAATAATTGATTTTAAGTGCTGGTCTAGTTTGTGTTCACACTGACTTATTCCAAACTAAACGACAGCTGTAACCTTGGACCCAGCCACATAGCTCTCATTTCACACTAGCTCCAAAATAGAAAGAAATTAACAAACTGTGGGTCTGTTACCGAACAGGTAAGGAAACCCATAATTTAATGATTAATTACCAAGCTTGAATAACCTAATATATTCAGTATGTGATTATGCTTATATAACTATATCCTTACACCCTGTGGAAAAGTAGAAATGAGTGAAAGGATGTAGAATGAAGTCCACATTCAAAGGTAGATTGTCTGTCAGAAAATAAGTAATATAGTATCAACCATAATTAGGAAAACAGTGCTAAAAACAATTCTACAAAATCACCATCAGTGTAATATTTAACCAAATGACGGTCCTCAGCCATTAAGATCTGGAGAAACTAAGAGTAAGAGTAAATAGGGTTAATACATATTGTTATTCATGGGGTGTTTTCTCCTGTTTTTTCTCCTGATCCCTCCTCTAATTGGATCCAGGGTCTCTTAAGATTTAGTGAGCACCCTTGATCAGACTAACACAATAGTCTGATCAAGAGGCCATAGGTCAAGAGGAGGTCTGTGAGGCCCTACTGTTTTTGCTTTGACCGCCCTATCGCTAGACTAAATTAGCATTTTTAGAGTGCCGTATCCTGCAATGCGCTGTTGAAGCAAACCACATGATCTCTTGAGGACTGCAAATGAGTGTGACGCCTAATGAGGAGGATACTAAGACTCCCTATGACTGAAGGCTGAAGAGTTCATTTGAACACGACAAACTTGGTCTTGCATTGAAAAGTGAAACATTCACTCCCTGGCTTTAGTGATTTTTATCAGCTCCCCTCCATTGCCATCTGTCAGCATCTCTCTGTTAAGAGAAAGCCCAGATAGACAATAAAGTGTATGGGGAGGAGTTGGCCTCTCTCTGTGGCACATTATAGACTCAGTCCTACTTAATAGAAACAGATTTGTGGAATGCTTGTGGGATGGCCACCCTCAGTTGGCCTCTCTATAATATTTATGGATGCTGATCTGTGGTCTGTCAGTGGTCAGAAATCACCCCATATCTGTTTTCACTAAGATCTCTTCCAGTAAACCAAATGTCATTCTGTTCACCTTGGGGAGAGATGGTAATTTCAGATGTGCATGTGCAGCGTGCTGAACTGTACCAGGCATAAGTCGGGGTCCAGCTGCTTGTTTTTCATCTCCTTATGGGTTTGGACATATAAGCAACTTCAGACAACCGTTTTAAAAGTGGAAAATTCTAAACTGGGTTCTTGTTCTCAGCAACTTTGTTTCTTTGTCAACTGAAATGACGTTTACATTTTCAAAAAGTCCGCACTTTGTAATGTTCTGGAGCTCCTAACAGTAGATTTGGATGGAAACCACAAAGGCAAGAGGAGGGCAACAGCAAGCAAAGAGAATGATTAAGCCTATAGAATCGAGCACATGATGCAGAGCAGATCACCCTGTTGTGACGGTCTTAAACGTACCCACAACCACACTGCTGCTTTGGCATGGATGTGGGGCTCTGTTGAAGACAGGGACACTAAGGTTAAATACACCTCTTATTTTTACATGAAAATGGTCTTACTTAGTTTCCTCTGAAAAATTATCTTGTTAGACTGCACTGCTTGACAAAATCATTGAACACACTTTAATGTTTCTGAGTGAAACACTTTCTCTGCTTGTTTTTCACTCTCGACATCTCTCTGAATTTTCCTCCTCAGGTGAGAGAACTTGAAGGCATCCCCCTCATATTGGACAACTGCAACATCGACAGCAACAACCCGTGTATCCTTTGTTTTCAGAAGCTGACACCAAGACATCTGTTTATCAACATACACTTATAGTTTATCAAAGTCATTGTTCATATCGTCACTGTGTATTTGTGCATGTTTACACCGGGAAGCTGGTGGGTTTACAACCATAAAAAGTGTTCTTCAAAAGGCCAAACAAACTTTCTGAAACTGTCAAACTCTCCTGCACAGTTTAATATCTTTTTATTTAAATGGGAGTAGTGATGACAGAAGTCAGTTAGTGAACACGGGTGAAGTCTTTTGGTACTTCTTTAAAAAGCTTTGTTTTATAGAATATAAGAGTTTCGTCTATCACTGTATCAGAGAATTACCCAATTTAATGGTCATTATTCTTACCACTGTGATGCTTTATTATTTATTTATTTTCTTTTACATGTGGTTTAATTTCTTCCAGACCTCATTAACATACATCAAGTCTGAACACTGCTCAGTACACCAATGTTTATTACAGAGTCCTCTTAAAGGTATCTTTGACTTCACTCATATCTGACCCAACAAAAACAAAATGAAATTCACAAAGAGGATTAACTGAAGGACTATTGTAAAGTTTATATCCCATCGGCAGCCATGTTACCAAGACACCTAGACATCACGTTCAGGTTATTATGTCATAACCTTTATATAATATATGTATTATGCATTCAATCTAGCTGGATCTATTTCAAGCTTACAACTTCAAGTTAACCGTACAGATCTCCCTTCAAGCTCAACTAATATTTTCACATCACCGTATCATCGAGGCTAATTTTTCCCATCAACTCATTTGTCCTTTTTTATTTGATGGGACAGCTGAAGAGAGACAGGAAATGTTGTCACCAGTTGTTATTAATTAGTCAAAGTGAGGGCAACGTTTTTGAACCAGGTCAACGGTCTAAACTGAGCCTTTAAAATGTTCCACCTCTATCATGAATACTTACATGCACACACACTCACACACATGTTCAGAGTTCACTCCATCCACAATTCTCACATTCTCACAAGTTTCTGCATTGAATTCTCTTCAGAAAATGTTTGTGTAACAAAAAATGTTTATGGATTTATGCGGGGAAACTTGAGAGTGGCGAGCGGAGAATGTTTTATGTCACCAAACATATCCTGTCTGCAAAGCTCGTTGGTTTGTTGGGCTGCCTGCGCACTCGGCGACCTGAGGCAAATACCAGGCGCTAATGAGTCTGACATCCTGAGTTTAACGTGTTTGGCCTCCTGCTCACCTCTCTCTCCCAGTCAATCTGTGATCTGTTATCCTAAACATGTACAATTTCTTTGTTAATTTTTCATTGTACATCTGACACTAGAACTGCGTGCCAATGTCCTGTTTGGAGCATGAAGTATTCATTAAGATGTTATCATCTAAATTGGTATTTGGACTACAAATGTGACACATTACAAGAAAAGTTAATGGCTACTGTTTTAAGTTTAAACATTAATCTATCTAGCTATTTTCATTTGTTCCAAAATAACAAGATTTGTTGCCTTTTCCAAATACACAAAAAAGAACCAAAGTGAGGTGAATAACTTGTTTTTCAATGTTGCTCTCCTTAATCGGCTAACTTAAGTCATCAGCCAGTGGGCGATCTTTGCCATCAGGAACCTCCTAGAACACAACGTGGCAAACCAAGAGCTGGTTGCCGCCCTGGAACGCCGTGGCACCACTGACTACTCTGCGCTCAAGGAGCTGGGTTTCCTGGTGGAGAAGCGAGATGGAAGCTTGCTGCTCAAACCCGTGAGGAAGGACTCTTAGATTAGAGGAGCAGCGAGAAGGGAGGAGGTCCTCAACCCGCAAGCAGGTTCTCATGTGAAGTATTTATTTAGAGAGGAATAATGTACATGTGCGTGAGCATGTAGTCATGCTACAAGCTTCAATCATTTTCATTTCAATTGAAGTTTCATTTGCAGGTCTTTACACCTGTGCACTAATAACATATGACTTGTGCCTGTTCATTATAAGTGACAGCCACACTGCCGATATATCAAGCAAAAAAGTCCTTTTGAATTAGTTATTTTTATCTGAGAAGTATATAGAGCTTACTTTTCTACCTCAGTAATGCTTGCACTAATGATTCCCATGAACGAACAACTAAGATTGGGTGTAAGGTATTCTTAATACACAAAAGGCCCTTGGGGTCCCCCTGGTATACAAGCAGGGGCTATTGTTTAGTCCTGACCTGAGTCTGGGAAATGAAGAGGTTGGTAAGGCGAGCACATGCTGGTACCTTTTGGCAAGACTGCTGCATAGTGGTTTAATCCAAAGACAAAGAGCACCACAGTGTCTGTGGCTTTTCACTTTTCACAGACACTGGTGTTACCAGCAGGGGCTGGGGTTTTAATCCCAGGCCCACATTGACTTCTGCAGTAACCCCGAAACAGAGAATGACCAAAACATGATGTAATCAACCCCCTCACCGCCTTTCCCACCACTTAAATGGTGGTGTCTTTGCCAGAAGAACAAAGGCTGTTTCCCCTCATTCAAAGGTTCAAAATATCTGCTTATCTAAGCGGCAAATAATATCATCATCTAGGATACGCGAGTGAAAAATGCAATACTACCGATTACTGATGCTATGCATGGTCTGTGATATGAAAACAATGCTCAGTTTACAGTGAGAGCTTGACACTGTTCCTCTACTTGCTTTTACAATTCTTGTACTGAAGTTTATCACAGTACTGAAAATAGTTTAGTGAATTTAACATTTTTCCTCATCTTATTCTTAATCGTCTATTTCTATTGTACTAAACTGCACTATAGATAAATGGGTCAACAGGGCTAATAGCATACATTATCCATCAATAACAGTCTTAAAAGTCGTGACACTGAGTACATGTTTTATATCTCATCTGCTCAGTGCTTCATCGAAAGCTTGATACGAGTTCAACCAAACCACATAGACTTTCTTAGAGCTTTCTAAAATACGATACTTCCTATTTAGCTGTAGTTTATAGTTTTTGTACCAATTCTTTAAAAAAAAAAAAAGAGAGAAATTCTGGAGCCGTAGAGATTGGAGTGAGATAGTGAATGAGTGAGGGAAGGGGACCAGAAGCATTAGTTTGCAGAATGACATCCCTCCGTGCTCCTCCTGTTGCTGGATAAGCTGAATGGTCCTGACACCTCAACAATGCCGTGCTTTACAGGCCTGCCCACACCCTGCTCCACCCTGTTTGCTCTGCCTCTGATTTTTAATGACAAAATGTATTGAAACAATCGGCTGGACTCTCCCCTCAATCCTCCGGCATAGTGAGGGGAGCTTATATGGTTCCGGTCCCCAGGATTTCAGACAGCAAACAAAACAGCTGTTACTTGCGCTCGGCTGGCTGGCTGCAATGCTTTTCAGCCCCACAGGAAAGAGGCTGTGCGAGTCAGCCGGGCTGAATGAGGTGGCATGGTCGCGGCTGTCTCCTAACACATTAGTACCACATCAGCCAAGACCAGTAGGTCTTGTGTTTCCCATATCAGCATTTTGTAACACAGAACTCTACTGTAATGTAACTGTGCCTTCCTGTTGACATTCGCTTTCAGCAAAAAAATACTTTGTCAGGAGGTCAAATACATGCTTCATGTTTCAAATAAAATGTTTATCTATTGCTTAATAAATTATTCTAACTGACAAAGCAGCTTTTGTAATTATTTAAATGAGGTCAAAAAGGCTGAATGTGTGACCCAAGAAAAAGTCAAGGCTTTAAAAAAAGGATGCTCAAATTTTATTGGTAAAAAAAGAAAAAATATACAACCGTCCAGTTTGTATCTTCTACAGACTTAGATGTTGCCATAGAACAAAAGAAGAAACGTGAATTGTCTGTATTTAAAGTGAGGAAACAGTAAGTTCTAGTTCCTGAAGGAGCTGTGAAGGCCAGTGGTAACAGACATTTGATTGGTTGAAAGCTCCACAGCTAGTCGGTAGCTGAAGTATTGAATTAACTTAAATATTTAACAGAATTTCCCACAAAATGTCATTTTATATTTTCCAACACTTGATGAATCTCAACTTTTCTGGGCTACTTTGAGTTGTGAAGGATGGTGTTGAGATGGACGATCTGGGCTACTTTGGTAAAACACATGGAATATTTACAATCTAGGAACTTTGATCAAACACAGAAATTCCAATAATTTATAGCCTTCAAATCTGAAACAATGACATTAGAAAAGACTTGTAAATAGTGACTTTCTTCTCCATCTATAAATGACATAAAGTGCCACATTCCTCATATAAAAATATACTCTTCTAATTGTTTTGAATGTTGTATAAAGGCCTAAATAAACATTTCTGACTACATGAAGGATGCTGTCCAAAAATAGCTTTCAGGCCTTTGATCCTCTCGTACCCCCTTCTGTGTGGTTAGCGCACATGCCATCGACCCAGGCAGGCCGAAACCACGCTGGAAGGCCTTGTGTAAGCAGAGGCCATAATGTGGAATTCCACCTCTCTGCCGTTCATGGGAATGTTGGATGTATCTGAACCTGATTGCACCTCTATGGAGTTCCAATGAGGCTTACATGCTGTTCTCAGAAGTCAAGAGCTCTCTGAAAACAAAACAATGAACACAGTCGGGATGGAAAGTGCCGGTCAAACTAGACAAGTTGGATGCTTAAAATAGTATGGGAATATTTTCTGCCCCTTTGGGTCTTGGCATAACAAAAGGTCTAGACTTAGGGGGGAGGGGGGGATATGTCCATGAGAGAGAGAGCCCTCAACAACACAATCCCCCAACTTGACAACATCCCTGGAAAAAGAGGAAAAATGACAACTAGAGTGCGAAGTCAAATGGAATTGTTTGATAACTGATGAGGGATAGAAATGTAACTCCATGAGACTAAAAATGACTTGTCTGAAATGTTTCAGTAAAATGGAAATCATGAAAGAGGGGAAGCAAATCAGTTTGCTCTCTGTCTTATTAGATTTTAGGGTTGAAAGATATGTGTACATAAATAATGTTTTATTTCAGTGTTCAAACAGAATACAGTGTGAGCATACAGTTACAAGTATTCCACTGCCGTCTCTCAGTCTTCATCAGGAGTCCCTCGTCTTTCACGGCAGTCTGAAGCGTTTTAGCATTTCCAGTACGAAACCTTTCTCCAACAATCCCACAACAGTCTTTGTTGTTTTTCTTGTTGGACACGACACCTGTACAGTTCCATCTTTGCAAGAGGTTGTTTTCAGATCTTTCTCCAGAGTTCGTGTTGTGCCACAGTTTTAAACCCAGGCAAAAAAAAAAAAAAAAAAAAGTTTTTTGTTTTCAAATCAGTCTTTTTTTTTTTCTTCAGAATTCTCCAAACCCTGCATAGTTTTTCCTTTTCCTCTTTCAGGAATTCCAAAATTGGATGTAAAAATGTGCAAATTGTTAAATAAATATTTCCAGGTCCTTCAACCTTCGTTGTCTTTAGCTCTGCGTTTCCTGTGTGTTCACTTGCAGGTGAACACTTCTGATTTCTCACTGCAGGTGTTGCACTTGACGAAACAGCACCAGTGGAACTTGCAGTTGCACTGCCAGATGCGCGTGTAGTGATGCGTGTTGTATCCCCGGCCACAGCACATCACATTACAACTGTCTGCGAGGGTGGAGGTGCCGTTGCACAGCCTTCCCCGTGTCCCTGTGCTCCCCGTGGCTGTGTCCTCTTCACAGTAGTTGGGTGAGCGCTCCAGATACACCAGGTCTGTGTCCGTGGGCTTCTGATAGCCCCGAGCCTCTTTGAGTCGTAGGAAGGAGGGTTGGCGCAGCCGCGAGGCTCGAACCGGCTCCACTTGAACCGCATCGCTGTAGCGTTCCTTCAGCAGGTAACCGATCTCTCTGAACTTGGGCAGGGTGATCCAGCAGGTTTTAGTGGTGCAGGAACCCGACACGCCGTGACACTTACACTCCAGCTTCATCCTCTCCTCTAGGATCTGAGCACACACAAGAGAAGACATTAGATCTCTATGGATGAAGTGATGGTTAAAAGCCGAAAATGATTTTGTGGGATTAATATATAAATGTTCTTTTAAAATTACAGTGCATAGCTGGTTTTGGAAACAGCCAATGGGCAATTCAAATCGCTTTTTTTTTTTTTTCTCGTCTGATAAGCTGGGCTTTCTGCGGACACTTCAACTTTCAGAACGCCGGTCGCTATGCCAACTTCACGTCAAACCCTGGGGGAAAAAACTCATACCCCAAAACAGTAGTCTCTAATTAAGTTTACCTTTTATTCAGACCACATAACGGCGAGGAAACTGACCAAACCTCTTGTGCAGCCATCCACATATAGAATTACTTCGTGGTTTGAGCCAGATTCATACAATAATGCTGCACGAAGATAAACTTGACAGGTGACTATTGAGCTTGGGCTGAGAAAAATCCTCTTTTTGTTGTAGATATATTATCACTGAAAAACAGTAATTTTATTTAGTTAAGATTTATTTTTGGCTTTTTTTTTGCCTTTATTGGAGAGATAGGACAGTGGATAGAGTTGGAAATCAGGGAGAGAGGAGAGAATGACATGCGGGGAAGGAGTCACAGGCTGGATTCGAACCTGGGCCGCCCGCTTGGAGGACCACAGCCTCCATACATGGGATGCGCGCACTGACCACTGCGCCACAAGCGCCCCAAAACAGTACATTTTTAAAGATAAACCCACCCCTACATCCCTGAAATTACAGAATATGTATAATGAGTAAGAAGCAAGCAATAGGTAAGTTTAGTGTCTCTTGATTGCTTTAACATTCTGGGGGACTTGGCTCTTGACTTTCATTATGTGAGGAGATCTATGGTGCTACCACAACAAAAAGATGAGAGAAAAACTTGCTATAATCTCCTCTATCTTTGTTTCATGCAGACTTATAGGAGGAATGGTTTATGTGGCAGTGTCACAATTCCATGTTGGCAGCTTAATCCACCAGCTTTGTCATTTCTGTCCTACATAAACACTAACTTGAAAGCATCCATTTTTGTAAAAATGATACCTAACCATACTGTACAGGTTTTGTAAACTTACATCTATCAAATACATAGATAGACAGATACAGTTTAAATCCATTACCTTTCGCCCTGCCTCGTTATTGTGCAGGTTCATGAGCCGCGGGCGTTTTTCTTGATCTCCCGAGCATCCACAAAGCGCCGCGAGAACTCCACGCCGTACTTCACATCAGCCGAGCAGCCCCCCCACTTCCAGCCCTCCTCCCGGTCGTGGTAGCCCTGCTTCTCGCGGTCGCAGCCACACTGGCTGAGGTTGCCTTGGCTACAAGCTGTGGTCACTGCATGGGCAACTCCTGCTGCCGTGATGGCATACGTGAATGCGGCTTCCCTGCTGCCTGAAGAGAAAGAGCAGAGTCTGAATACATTTGAATTAGAGTATAAATGAACAGTAACATCTCAAATGTGCTCCTGTTACCTTCCCAGATACTCTGCACTACAAACTGGAACTGTGGGATTTGTGGAAGAGGGCATTAAGAAGGCCTCGGCTCCATAAGAAAGATGCTCCTGAGCTGCACTTTAATTCCTTGACTTCCCTCTCCTATTGGTCTTAACATGTTATTGTCCTGTTCTTTTTTAAATGGTCTTGAGTTGTCTTGAAGTTATTTTATCTGATTGTACAGCACTTCGGTCAACATGATTTGACCTTTTTCTGGGACAGAGATGCAAGACTCTTATGGGGAGATTATAACCCTGATACGTTGAATGTGTGATTTCCCCCACCCTGACGTGTGCACTCAGACTATAACATATAGAGAGCTGAACACCAGCATGGTGCTAAGAAAAGATCTAATCCGGCTTGGCACACGGTTCTCTCCTCACAATAAATCCAAGTTTAAGAACTGCCACAACAGAATGCCACAACCTGTAGGCATTGATTTGGAGCCCATTTTATTTATAACATGTATAATATAAGAAATGATCCTCGTACTTGTGGTACTCTTCAGCTTTAGTACATTTCAGCCAGGATAAAAGTCTGGAAGTCAGAAGTTGACTCAGAAGGGAATCAGCATAAAGATAATTTTCCACCATCTATATGAACTTAAGCTCGTGGATTTTTCCCCTCTAACTTTGTCTTTTTTTCTAACCTCTGATGCACATCAGTAGCCCGTCGATGTTAGAACAATAATAATTACAGTGAAGGAAACACAAGTGACATCTACTGGCTGACCAGAGGAGCTTTTTCTGGCTCTTCAATTCATAGAGTTGCCTTTTTTTTTTTCATCAATGGAATTTCTCACGCGGCTTGAGTGTCATTCTGTGTCCGTCTTAGGCGGTCCACATTTTTGTAGCAAATGATACCACTGTTCTGCATGTTGGAATAATCTGTGGCCAGGCTTGACTTTGGATGTGCCCATTTTTGAGCTTTTGGGTGTCACCATTTGACCTTCAGAAAAAACACATTTTTATTGATGGCGTGGAGGGGAAATAAGTTTATTGGCATTGTAATTGGTATAAAGATATCCACTCTTTCCAATCAGGATAATGCAGAGCCTCTCTTTTTTTTTTTCCCCTCAACAGCCCAGAGTATTAATGCATGGCGTCTCTGGTAAGAGGCGATTCTAATGGCCCCTGTCCAACCTGACAAACTCGCTCGCAGAAACCATCGGGCCTGTGGTTCCCCCCACCCCGTCCCCCCCGTCCCATAACTCATAACAAACTCTGAAGCCTTCTCTCATCAGGCTTAATCTGCGATCCATTCAGATATATTGTATGGTGAGCATTTCTCAAGGCATCAGGCGCACGCCACAGCCAAACAGCCATCTCTTTGCACTCTGATTTGTTTTGATTGTACAGCAGTGCATTGCAGGGTTCCATTGTTGCCATCCAGCTGCTGGAGCTGATTTCAATTAGTGGTTTGCATGAATCTCTCTGGTCTTTCTCATTGCTTAATGAGTGCACGGGCCTGGCTGGTCAATCAAATGAAGTGATGGATGATGCACTAGCAACACAAGAGGGGCTACGTTCCCATTTTGAGTAATAATAGACATTACAACCCAACTTCCTGAGATTCCATGATCCATCCAGGCTAAATATGTCAATCCATGAACTAACAATGGAAGTTTTTCTACCAGTTTGTCTTCCAGAGAGTTCTTATTCGGTCAAACTGCCTGCATGAAGAGGACATGTGGATCCAAACTGGATCCAAAAGTGTCTCTCCGAGCTCGTTTACACACCACAAAAGAAAAGAGACATTTCCTCTGACAAAAGAAATAAAGGGATCCAGACGTCTGTCTGCCCGTCTCCTGTGTAGAAGAAAGTGATTGCTCCCAGAGCTGCTAGATTAAACATGGATCCAAACCCACAGCGAGACCGCAACAAAACATTTCAGACTGAAACACAATTTATATAAGCGGTTCACATTAGGAGCAAACAGGCCTCTGTGAGAAATTAAACTGGGAAGAATGTGGAATCAAAGAGGAGCGTGGAGGATGGCTGTGTGTTTCAGATGTTGTAGATGTTTAGTAGGTGGCACTCTGATGAGGATGGCATTAGAGCCTGCTCAGTAAAGGTGTCTTGACACTTCCCTTACAGCTGATGTGACAGTGGGTGACAGTGATGTCATTAACAGCGGGTTGATTCTCGCTTGAGAACTTTGAAGTGCAATGTTTTGTGTACGTTTCTTTTTTTTTTTTTTTTAAGCTTTATTTTGGGCTTTTCGTGCCTTTAATGCAGAGGGAGGACAGTGGATAGAGTCGGAAACCAGGGAGAGAGAGAGCGGGGGAATGACATGCGGAAAGGGGCCACGGGTGGAAGCAAACCTACCTACCGCTCGAGACGAGAGTCTCAATACATGGGACGCGCGCCCCTGTGTATGTTTCTCAACAAGGAAGAGAATTCTCTGTGGCTGGTGTTTTCATTTCAGTTTTGCCCCTGGTGTCTTATTTTATGCTACTTTGAAGACAATAAGAGGAAACCTTACTGTTGATATTTGCTCATCTGAATGTCTGCTGCTGTTTTATTGGCTTCAATGATTGTAGAGTCAGGTCAAGCATCTCATTTTGGTTTCCTGAGGCCGCTTAACAGACAAGTTAAAGCAACAGCGAATCGACGGATTTAACTCCCTGATCACACATCAGTCAGACCACACTCGTGCCAGAGATTTCAACTGGTTGTGTATACTTCTGTTAAATTGACTCCTACAATTCTGAAAAAAAAGGGGGTTTGATATGAAGCCAAGGCCTCTTGCTGCATTTAGTTTCCAATCTTTGTCCTCTCGTTTTCTATGATCTTCTTTTTCTCTGGTAGAAATGCTGTCAAAAATCTGGCAAGCGTGTACACCAAGCAACATTCTCCCCTTCGCCCGGTCTGCTTTGCTGATTTCCTATAGAGCACTAATTCATGTACAATTTACAACTGAAATCAAAACAAGCTGACTTTTAAACAGACTGACCTACTCTCAGCTCTTGTCCAAAGACAGTCCTCTCTCCCAGGGCCGAGCAGTTCCAGCGGCCGTATCGGAACTGGTACTGACACTCGTTGATCCCCAGCTGGGCACCTTCGCCGATGACGATGATGGCATCGGGACGACTCTGACAGAGGGCCCTCTGGCGTGGGGCAAGTCCTGGTATTTTGTTGCAGATGATGTTGGCACCTAGAGCCACCACAGAGGACATCGCCCTGGACAGAGAGAAACCGTTAGAGGGGCTGTCTTTACGAGGAAAAAGATGACGGGAGTATGCAATCAAAAATACACATTTTCCCAAATGTTTCACAACAGCTGTCGGTCTATAATCATAGAAATAAAACCAAATAAACAAAGTAATCAAAAGAGGAGATCAGACTCTGCAACATCACATCACGTGTATTCTTATGGACCCTCTATAGCAGATTAAATACAACAGTTAATTATAGAAATGCAAAGATTCAGTTCTCTCTTTCTCTTGTGACAGAAAACACCAGAGAGTTTGAGGCCCTGTCTCTGAATTAGAGGCATGTATGGTGCAGCAATCACTCTCTTTGTGAGCGAGCCTGGATCTTTTAGTGCCATAAGAAAGAGCTCATGACATTCCCCTGTGCCTATATGCTGAGCCTGAAGTAGACCAGTATGACTCTTTTCCATATGCTGCTTTCAAATTAAGGCGCTTGTCTGACGAGGTGCCCTGAAGACAAAGTGGGTTCTGGTGTAATGTGTAAATCCATCGGAGCAGGTTATCTCATCAGCTGCATTCATATTACAACATGTAGAAAAAAAAAAAAATCATGTAGATTAAATGTTGGCCTCTTTCATACAAGACGTCATCGACTCCGCTCGATTTATGGCTCAGTATTGGAATGAAACACGCATAACTGCTCGTATTCTGGGGATAAAACCCCACAGCTCGTGTTCCGTGGCAGTGTGCGACTGAATTTTGGAAAAAATGATTAAACGTCACATGTCACGCATTTCCAACCCATGCTCTAAATTTTGGTTAACTGGATATTCCAAGTTGATTTTTTTTCTCCACTTACAAAATAAATTCAATGCCACAGCAGAACAAAATTAAGCCACAAGAAACATTTGAAAATATAGCCAATGACTTTGGCTTGTAAAAGTCGTTGTTAAGTGCTTTCTCTGTTCATATTGTCACCTGCAGCGAACAGCCAATGCTTTGGAAGTGCGATCTATTTCGCCGTGCGTGCGTAATTGGCCAATAATCTCCGCGTAATGCACCACTCCTTCCAGTAAAGCAAACAGACGTGTGTTGGATTGAAGCAAATGCAGGGGACAGTAGACGTACAGGTAGCTACCGCTGGTGAGGATGAGGAAGATCTGCGGGTAGTAGACGGACAGCAGCGCGCTGCGAGACGAGATGATGAGCATGGTTGCGCATTGAACAAATCTGGTTCTGCTCCCTTGTGGCTCAAAAAAGTAAATACTAATTAAAAAAAAAAAAAAAAAATGAACAGGGGGCAAATATATCCTTTTATCTGAGGTCCAAACGTGCCGTCTCTTCTCTGCCCTGTCAAGAGGTGCTGACTTTGGCTAACGGAGCCGTGGCGCGCTGCGGCAGCTCCAAGCTCCGGTCTTCATGCGTCGGATGTGAGGCTGCATCCCAGGGCCGAAGTGCGCTCCGCCACCTGGACTGACAGAGGACTGGGTGCGAACAAGTGAGAGAGGAGGAGGAGGAGGAGGAGGAGGAGGAGGAGGAGGAGGAGAGAGAGGGTGGGGATCAGATGGGGTTCCGGATGAACGATGCCCTCTGTTCACGTCTCCTAAAGTTTTTGTGTGGAGAGAGTCTAAGAGAGGGAGACAGTGGCCTCTCCCGGTGCACCAGCCCCCGGGGTGAGTCTGCAACTCCGCATCATCACACACAGTATTCCCACCCACAAAACACCACCTGTAATACCTTCATACATCTTTTCAATCTCCAAGGAGAACATTCAAGAAACTAGTTATGGCTATTTTACGTTGACAGATGTGACCATTTCATACATTTATTTGGGAAGAAAAAAAAATAGCTGGGTGCTGGTAGCCTAGTGGTTAGTGCGTACACTCAATGTACAGAGGCTGCAGTCCTCCAAGCCGGCGGCTCAGGTTCAAATCCAACCTGTGGCTCCTTTCCAGCATGTCATTCCCTGCTCTCTCTCCCGGTGTCGGACTCTATCCACTGTCCTCTCTCTAAAATAAAGGCATAAAAAGCCTCTAAATAAAACTTTAAAATGTATATATATACACAATTCAGATGCTTCTCTTCTTCCTTTATGAAAGTAAACTGAACAAATTGACGTATTGATATCGGCCTGCTGAATTTAATATGTATTTCTCTGACATTTAAAGACAGATTAAATTAGTCCTTTGGTAAGAAAATAACTGGAAACAAATCAATTCTAGTTGCAATTGAAGTCAACTTTTAAAGCCCAAGATGAGTGGCTTGAAGGATGACAATGTTAATGAAGAGACTTAATGATAAATAACTTTTATCGTAGTGATGTGTGGAGGAATTCTATATTGTTGGTGGCTTGCTAAACTTGTGTATTTGTAGTTTTTCTCATATTGTCTCTTAACGGAGGCAGATTCTTACTGAGATGCTTCAGATAGTGATAATTGACTGATTCAAAACAGCGCCGTCATGTGGTAGCATGAAGGAAGTGTCATGAATCCAAAAACACCCAGACAGACAGAGTGCACAGCAGATCATTTCACTTTTGAATTGTTGAGAGGCGTCTTTAAAATCCTTCCACTATGCTTCAATTGATATCACATGTTTCCACAAAGTGACTAATCCAGTAAAAATCCAGGTCATCTTTGGAGTGCACAGGTGTGAGTAGATGGAAAAGCGAACATGTATGAAAGAAAAGGAATGGATTCTGTTTTACTCAATTCAAGATGTTGATGTCCCCAGCAAACCGTGCTTCGTTTGCTGTGAGTGTAAAAGGTCCAGTGGGAGGTAAACATCCTGTTTAATCCCTCAGGACCTTCAAAGGTCGAGGAGTTTATAAAGTCTGATTTACAGAGTGGACAGAAGACACAGTAAAGATCCTTCTCTGCTCATTGTTAACATTTTAGAGGCTGAAAATCAAGACATCTGAGCTGCACAAATAACCTCAAGGACACCATTGAGAGAATTTCTTCCAAAATGAGAAAAACAAAATCGGAACAGAAGCGAAATAAAGTTGTGTTTTGCATATCCTGCAGCCACAAGGAGAGCAGTTCTGCGAGATAGGGAGTGACTTGGAGTGTAAGAGGAGAAAATAGCTCTGACTCTTTGACTGTTGAAAGATCGGCCGGATTCTTGTGAAACTAAAACGGATGAAATGTATACACGGTACTTTTCAGAATGATAAGCTGCTTTCCCACTAAATTGGACTTTCTCTCTCGGGCTGCTGAAAGGTGATCCAGTTGAACACGCTGAAACCTTGTCACAGGACGGTTTACTTCAGAGGACAACTCGTAGAAATTCTCTCTGACTCGTGATCAGCAGGAGCATTATCAGACGTGCATGTATGTGTTCTTTACGTCTTTTACTCTCCTGCCCTCTTTCTTGCTCTCTTCTATCCCTCGATTTCTGTCAAAATGATCCTCCTAAACCACCATTTCCAAAGCCAAGACAGCACTTAAGCGGCAGGCACTCACTGTCCTGGCGCCCACACAGTATATCTGTTTCTTTTCAGGGTTTTATACACAGAAAACGAGGTGAACATGGAGACTTGAGGCTGCCCAGATATCCTTCTGACTGCAGATCAGGACGTCTGATCGTGACAACACAGGCTTTAAATGTATCGTGTTTCTTCTTAATCTGTCCCGACAGCCGTCAGTGAATTGACAGTTATGGTTTTGAGAGCGACACTCATTGTTGATGATGATGAGGGATGAAGACTGGCAGAGGCAATCTGGAGTCCAGAATAAATAATGTTGTCGTTTGGCTCTGTGTGCTTTTGAGACCGTCTTGTCCTTGAGCTCTGAATTTGGAGCTGAGTCGCTGATGGGTTGTGCTGGAAACGGTATTGTCGCTCATTATAGCAAACATCTGATAATTCAACATATTTGGCTTTTTTTTTTTTTTTATGTAGAACTGCAGGACTCATTGGTGTGTGTGCGAGACATAATCCCATACACACTCTCACAAGGTTAAAAATGAAACGGACGGTACTAAACATATGGGATGTCAAAGTTGATGCTATACGGGTCAGAAAAGATTATCAGAATATACTTGTATATGTGTGAAGCACTGTGTCCTAGTCCAGGAACGTTGGTCATTGTTTAGAATGTACAGTTAAGTGTAAATCCGAGTGGCAACCTCTGGCGTCGAAAAACGAAGCCAATGCAGAAGTGCAAGACACTGCAGATCGTTGAGTGTCTGCTTGAGGCTGGCTGTAAAAGACCAGGAAGTCACATACACACCCCAATCTAAAAATCTACTGCGGAAATGAACATGTTGACAGCCTGCTACAAAAAAAAAAAGACCCATTTTGGTCTGATTGGTTAGGTTTTGTGTAGATCCTCAGTCATCCAGGTCAATCCAAGGTCAATTCGAAGCTCGATCCAAACGCAACTGGACTTGGTAGAAGATCTTGAAAGCGTTTCACCTCTCCTCTGAAAAGTTATTGTCGTCATCTGCCTCACATTGTCCCAGGGGTGAATTTTCTTAAAACTCACCTGTTTTGGTTTTATGAAGTATAGGAGTAATGCCTAGGCACGTGATTTAAAACCTGCCTCAGCTCCCGCTCTTAGCCTGTCATTGGGTTGACTGAAAGTTAGGGTGAGTCAGCATTTCCAGCATGGTGACCTCTATCAACAGTCTTCCAAAGCCCCCTGCAGTAACAGACGGGTGACATCACTCAGGCTTTGTCACTTACAGTCGATGTAATAATCACATGCGGATAAGGTTATTGCAATAAGCCATTTCATTTGGTCTTAAATATGATTGGATCCTTCACTTGAAGATGCACAGTAGGGATGTAAAACAAAATCAATACACTTGAGCATTGAAACATGTTTTACGACGCTGTATCCATTCTCAAAAACACTCTTTTATTACAAGTTCAGTAGTTTACATACACAGCTCTTTTAGCAGTGTTGTCCTTTGACACCAAACCACTAGATGGCAGTGTTGTCATTCCTCTTCTGCCACTGAATCTTCAACATAAACTTGAGACAGGAAGAAAAATAATTATTAAGCATAAAAAGGAAGAACACAAGAGTAAGTGTTATTGGGTGAAATATATCTCCATGTGTTCAATATTTAACATATGTTATTGTAAATCCTGCATCTCAGTAAGTCTCATCTTGTCGATACACATCAGTGTAAAGCATGACTCAGATTGGATATTCATATATATGTTGATGATGTGGTTTAAATTATTTCCAATCAAGTGTTTGTTCAAATTAGATACTAAAATAGCGAAGAAGTAAATTGATTGGTTTATTTATATTTAGTGGGCCAATAAGTAATGCAAAAATATAATGTTACTCATCTTACTACAAACTCTCAAACGACTTCAATACAGAAATATGTTATGTTAGATTAACCTGGTTTCCATGCAGTACTCAAAATGGATAGCAAAAGAACAATACTGATTAATAAATCAAACGATATTGTATTCACTATTTGTGTCATCATCAACAAACCAAGACCATCAGAGAAAAACATGCAAGACCACAGAGGGGGTCGGTCAAATTCTTACAAGAGCTAGTTTTAACATTTACAAAAAAAAAAAAGTAATCTAGGATTAATATTCTTTCGTCTTTGTCCTGAATCTAGGACGATGATCTGTACAAAGAGTCTCACATATTGTCACCATATTGTGTCTTTAAGCTTTTTAAATGAACTCATCAATTTCATGTGAAGCTCTTTAGGGCTCCCACGGTTCTCCAGAAATACAAAAGTGAGCCACGCATGTGTCACTAGGTGAAATGCTCCTTTATGATGTTAGGGATGATTTTCACTCATTAACACCCATGAACACACATGAACACTGGTGTTAATCCACAGAAGAAAGTAGGCCTCAGCAAAGAGACTATTAACCGCTGAAGTGATCCACACTAAAACATGGCTTGTTTTTGGTCTTTTCATTGGACTATCGGTTCTGAATAACATTAGCCGTCTTCTTTTGTTAGACAGTTTTTATTACATGGGAATAGACACACTCTAGAGGCTGTGGTGTTTTATGTATCCTGTATGTCTCTGATCCACAAAGACACCATGATGGGTTTAATTTGTTTTGGTCAGACAAGTGCACATGAGCGTTTCTACACATCGCTCCACGCAGCAGAAGTGGTTTGCGAGCGTAACCGCAATGTCAGAGGCATCGTTTAGATCGTAATATTACAAGACAAACACATGGTGCTTGTATGTGCTCAGGGTTAAAACGCTCGCTGCAATGCCAGAAATCCCTGTGTGGTT